CCCGGCACGAGGGGAATTCCGGGCGCCGCTTCCTGCTGGCGCCGCGCCAGGCCTGCCTGCTCCGCCCGCCGCGCTGCGCTGACGGGGACGGGGTCAAAGAGCTCTGTTTTTGCCAGCGGTGAGTTCTTTATCTGTGTCCTAAGCATCTGTCCTTCCCTAAAAGAACTGGTCTGATGAGTTACCAATGAGGAAAAAAAGCACAGTGACTGTCGGAACAACCTGTGCCAGCGAAATGGGGGCCTTCCTTTGCCCTTTACTAACAGAGCCGTCGCAGCAGAAGTCTTGTTACAGATGTAGCTCGTCGGTACAATTTTGCTATCTTCCTGTGTTGGGTAGTGGGTGGAAAGCAAACGGGACTTGCATATATGCTACCATTTTACCTTTTCTCTTTGATGCTGGTAGAAGACACAAGTTGCTTAGCTGTATTTCCTATTACAGGTTGCACTGTAGCATGTGAGAGGGGAAGCACTGTGACCAATTAAAGATTCCAGTTATTAAAATCTCAGGGGAAAAACAGGAGGAAGACAAAATAGAATGTAAATTTTCACTGGAATAATTTAAGACACTATCTGTGCATACAGAAATCTGAAAAACTTCCTCAGAGGGTACCAGAATACTATCCGGACTTCAAAATCTCCCAACACAATCAGAGTCTCACTTTTCCTCTAAAGAAAAAGGGCAAATGGAAGATGAAAAAGCCCCAATTTATGCATATGTGAGGACAGAATGATAGTAGGGTGTTTACACAACTGAGAACTGAAGAATAAAAATAAAGGAAGCATGACTGAAGAGCATATTATGACACTAACGGGTAATTTTTTGTTACAGACTGTTCCAGTAAAATGAATTTACAAAAGACTCATTCATATGTACTCTAAAGCTCTTTCAAATTTCCTGTCATACATGATGCCATTGGTCATCAATAATAATAAAAATATCTGTCAAGTTTCAAACATCTAGCTGCGATAAGATAGCACTATAACGCCATTTAGCTTCTCTTTGCCTAATTAGTTGTTTCGGCAGTTACACACACATGCACACAAAATTCTTTTAAAAGTTTGAAATTGTTACCCGATCACTGATGAGTTGTTTTTAAAGAAGCTTCTAATACTGAGAAGGCAACACTAAAAGTTCAAATACTGAGTCAGATCCACAAATACTATATCTGAAGAGTCATGGGTTGTAGGACTTGGAGTTTGCTGGACTTAGCTCCACTTAATGTTGCATGAGGAAGTGAGCTCTATGTATGTATATGTGTGCATGGCTGTAATTGCAGTCAAACATTTGCTTTTGTAGAGCAAGGTGATAATGTTCTCAGCTTCAGGACTTCGAGCAGGAATCTCCAAAGAAAGTAAAATTGTGCTTATGTATGTTATAGATTATGAAGCTTCTTACTTTTTACCATACATTCTCCCAAACTTAATAATTCAGTGTTCCTCCTTAACTCAATCATTTCCCCCGTTCTGCCACTCCACCACTAGCCACATATCTGCTTTTTGCCGCTCTGTACACTTTGACCTTCTCTGACTTTGGCAATGCAAGCTGTTCTTCCCTCCTAGGCCTCAAGGCAAGCAGTTTCAGGCCGCCTCATGCTGCAATGAGGAGAAAGGGAGGGGAAGGAACAAAAAGCAGGCTAAAATACTTTTGATAGCAGGAAAGGGGTGTAGCTGCCCTCAGCTGCCAGGCTTTTTCTGATTCCTTCATCTCTGTGAGAATAGTAGCAGCTTCCCCAGTTCTGCACTCCCAATAGTGACTTTGTCTTTCATGAGAAAGAGATATGAGAGCCTTACCTAGCAGTGGTGATTGATGGTCCTTTCTCAGAAGGCCATGAAGTAAGAAGGTAACTAAAGGTTTCTTCTTGGACAGGACTGAAATTCGCAAGGACCATGCACATCCTTCAGCATCCTGAGTCTGGCTTCGACAGCTAACCAAAATAATTATTCAGAGGAAGGGAGAGAGGAGAGTAGTTGTGTTTTGGTCATACCCAAGTTAAAAGCAGAAGGCATCTGCTTGGACTTTGGTTCTCAGACTGGTGCACCTGCATTGTGGAAGTGATCCTTATTCCAGCCCGTTCAGCTGTTATATCAAGCTTCCAAGATGAATGGATTAACCTAAAAAACAGTAGGATTTATAAACTAAGACAAGACACTGTACTTTGCAGATTCTTATCTCTGGAAAGGGGGAAGGAAGGTTGTATTCAGATCAAGTTCTCCTCAACCAAAGGAAACTGCTTTCTTAAAACAGTTCCATATAATCACAGAGGTCACAGTGCTAATAAAAGTGGGGCAACCACATTACCAATATTTATGAAGATGAACTTGACATTATTGTCTGAAACAGCAAAGGTGGTATAGCAAATTTCTGGAGGTTTAGGTGGAACACAGTTGCCCTGCAGCATGAGTGCCAATAATGAATAGGATAGAGAACACTGGTATCTGAAACAACCGAATGTCCAGAAGTCTTCTCCAAGAGTCTTGATGAAGGTCAGTCTCCTCATGGTGTAATCCTTCTCTGATGCCCTCTCCAGTTTACTATCTTCTACAATAATAAAAAAAATCTAGCTCTAATGGCATCTCTGTAACACACCCCTAAATGTCTCTGAAGGAGGAGAGAGAGGGGCAAAGGGCACTGCTATTTGCCTTGCCAGTGCTACTCCCTTTCTCTGTTGTGCATCAAGTAGGTGTTTGTTCTTTCCCGATCTTGATAAGAAAGAATGGCCACTAGAATCTTTAAGTGTAATACAATGTTTAATCAGAATATTCAAAGATTGAAGTGAAATAGAAGATTGTCCCTTTTGGTGCTGGGACCGCCGAGATGATACAGCATTGGGTGGAAATCTCAATCAGAGCATACGGCACACTGTGCAGATCCCATCTGTAGTGAGGCCTTTTTGTCTTTAGAGCTCTTACAGATTTTTCTCAGAAGAAAATTCCATTAATTATTCCTAATGCTGAGCAAACTGTTTGCATGAGAACACGCTGCTTCACTTTTAGATAAAGACAAGGACATGCAAGTGGCATAGTTGTTGCTGAGTGGGAGCTGCCTAGAGGCTCCTCCATTATGATTATGTGCCTAAGTTTATTCTGCAGCTAAGGCTTGCAGCACAGGCTTGCTGTGTCTACTCTGGTCAACTGTTATGTAACTCACTAGCTGTTTGATATACAAGAGTCTTCCAGTTAGGATCACTATGACCACCATAAGTTATCGTGTCAAAATATCTCACTATGATTTCAACCTTATCAATACCCACTGCTGACATGGACAAATATTAACAACGATTTTTATCTCAGATGTTTTCTGGAGACCTAACCAGCTCAAAGTAGCAAATTCATCATGTCTATACTATCAAGGATGAGATACAACATAATTTGCAGTTTCGGTAATGCTGCTCTGATCTTTATTTCTAGCTAACAGTTCAGTCCCTACTCACTTTTTTGTTCTATAGAAACATTTAGTCAGGTGAAGACAAAATACTCTGTGGAAGATTAAACATATTACCTGTACTGTATCTGTAGCCTGCTTGGTAGAAACTATAAAATCCAAGCTGCTTCTAGGAGTAAGAAACGAGGGCATTTCCTCAGTGTCTCAGTGTGCTTCATCATGCAGCCATGCAACTCAGTGAACAGAGAGATGGAAGGACCCTCCTGTACCTGCACTCCCACAAGTCCCACCTATAAAACTTTGCACCCATATTTAAAGATGAAAAGAGTTGTCTCTGGCTAGTTCCCACATTTTTCAGCTAGCAAGAGGTATCAAAAGGAGCCATGGAGCATGATCTAGCAGCTGTGCTGATGCTACTTATTTTGAATTTTGGAGGTATTGACAGTTCATTGGTAGCATCAACCCCCTTTCTAGCGGTAACAAGGTAGGTTTCTTCTGTTAAACCAATCTAGGATGGTAATTAGCATCCCACATAAAACTGATGAACAAATTTTCTTTGGAAGGTGTAACTCATCCATGTAAGAGGAGGATAATGAACAGAGAAAGAGGAAAAAAGTGTTAAGGAAAACTTAGGAAAAGCCAACTTTAGGCAGAAGGTATTAACTGTAGATGAAGCTGCAGTACCTATTTAATTTAAAAATTAAGCCAACTTCAAGATTA